AGATATTTTTTTTACCTGTCAACCTTTCTCAGTGAATGAATGGTAACACTAAGTGGTCCAGTTTCACTTTTTATGCATTAGCACAAATATTAGATTTTCATTATTTATTGCAAATAACTCTCTCTCTCCCTCTCCCCTTTGCCATCTCCCCAAATAAAAATAATTGCATTTACATTTTAATGAATCGCAACTTTTCTACTGAAGTACTTAGGTGTGGTAGTCTGACAGCAGACAGGCTGGCAGCTAACTAGTTCAGAGAGGCATGAGCTTTTATAGACAGCAACCTATATCATCAGATGCTAGGAACGGACTGCAGTCCATCAGAAAAAGTAGACTGTTGCCTATGAAAGCTTTAGTCTAATGTATTTATATCAGGCCTTCAACACCACAGAACTATGATTCTAATGTACAATACTAATGCTCTCCCTCTTCGTTTCTGATTTCAGAGTTTAATCACTGCCCATGAACAGTTTAAAGCCACTTTGCCTGAGGCAGATGGTGAAAGACAGGCTATCCTCTCAATCCACAATGAAGTTGAGAAAGTTATTCAGAGCTACAACATGAGAATAAGTTCAAACAATCCTTACAGCACCGTCACTCTGGATGAAATCCGCACCAAGTGGGAAAAGGTACTGTATGCTTAAGTGGAAAGACTGTTGCAGGAATACTGTTCTCATTTATGAATGAGAATGTGCAGGAAACTTGGCTGTAGTAATTGTTGTGAATTTTCCACACCCTGCCTTGATTCCCCCTTGCAAAAAATAAATTAAATAAAATTAAATTAAAAAAAAAATCAGCAGATGATCCCATAACACTCAGGAGGATCTGTGCCTGTTATCCATGTGTAAACACTTCAGGAACATGCCCTGGATGAAACTTTTGTATTAAAAATCATTGTTAGTCTGGACCCAAGAAAAGATATGGTAATGTGAAATAAAGTTACTGGCCAGAAGAAGCTTGGTTGTGATTATGGATAGTATGAGTAGCTGGTGAGAGAAGAAATATGTATTAAGAAAATGTCAAATGTATTTAACATTGCTAATCAGGTTTCAGTTCATTTGTAGAGAACAAACTTAGTAGGTCATTTGGATAACTGATATATGGGATTGAGAGGAGAATTTGGCCTCCATCTTAAGTTTTATTCTATAAAGTGTATTTAAAACACATTTTAAATGTTAGATAGGGGTGCATATCTTAAATTTACCTATGAAGTAAGATTACACTAACCTGAATTGCAATTGCTTTCATCATTCATATGGCTATATAGTTAAAGACTGTGAATACATACTTCAAGAAACCAATTGTGCTCCCTCTGAAATTAAATGAAAACCTGCCAGGCATTTCAGTGGGTGCTGGATCAGCTTCCTGATCTGCTTTTGGAAAACACTTAAAAGGCAAATACAAAGAATAACCACGAATATTCACATCCATGTAAATATATAGTATACAGTGCAAACCATGGAAAGCTGATTCCAGCAGGTAATGAGGCCAAAGCATTGAGACCCAAACTCAGATTCCATGTAACAATGCATTGTGGGCAAAAAATAATTTCTGGAGCTCACTTACTCAGACTCATCTATATTCAAACCAAGCCCATCATACCTCTTCTCAACCTATCCTAGTGGCTCTGCTTAAATGAAATCCTGTGTGCCAATTAAAGCTAAGTGAAGTTGATAGGAAGTAATTTGCTCAGAATGTATTTCAAAAGCCAAAAAACCGAAAACCAAAACCCAACAACAAAAAAACCTGAAGAACAAACCTGTGGTGACGAAATAAATAGTCTTAAACTTGAATGCAGGAAGAGGTAAGATTTTCTTTGACTTAAAATTTCATCTTTCTGGTCGCATTCCCAGCTTTAGTTTCAAGTTGCTAAAGGAATGTGGACAATGACATGTTCTATACAAAAAGGAGTTTAAATTGCTTGGGGGAGCCACCCAAGGCACCTTCTACTCTATGACTTCTGTTTTCAAATTGCACTGGAAATGGAAAAACTTGTGATCGGCTTCAAAAATCAGCATCTACCAGGTCATGCTCTATTAATTTTACAAATGTGATCTGATCTGAGTTACTCGTATTCATCCTCATGCTTTTGGCACCCTGGCAGGTGAAGCAACTTGTGCCTGTGAGGGATCAAGCTTTACAGGAGGAGTTAGCTCGTCAGCATTCTAATGAACGTCTTCGTCGCCAATTTGCTGCTCAGGCCAATGTCATTGGACCATGGATCCAGACCAAGATGGAGGTGAGTACCACTCAGGTTGTGAAGAAGAGGTGTCTGTACACACAGCATATTGGTGGCCTGGACTGCAATGCTCTGGCGCTCCAAACAATTTTTTAGTATCTGATGAATTAAGCTGCTGCTTGTGATAGCTTATGCATCTCTCATTTAATTAGGCTATAAAGTGCAAAACTACCCTGCCTTCTGCCACCCAAACAAATGCAATCAACTCCTTTAAAGGTTTTTAAAGCAGTGAGAGATCATAAAAGCTAATAAAAGCTCTCTAGATATATTAGATTAGTTCTTTTAGAAGAAAATGAAAATTGTAGAATGGAGATTTTTAAAGGCACAAAGTGTTGATAGTTAAATGGAGTTGTACCTTTGAAAATCAGTTCCTAGACGATGATGATTATTACTTCGGTTGTGATCTTTTCACAAAGACAGCATGGTCCTGATGTTGCCTCCAGAGGTAAGTGTGCGTCTCCTCTGTGGAGTGTAATTCAGGGTAGAATATGTTCTTTTTGTGCAGAGGATTATATTGTTGCCAACTCTTAGTATGAAAACATTGCTTTTTCATGTAAATGCTTGGCAAATTAATAAACCTGCGGCTTAATTCTTTTATTTGTTTCCATGTAATAGGAAATTGCCCGCAGCTCTATTGAAATGACAGGGCCTTTGGAGGACCAGATGAATCAACTGAAGCAATATGAGCACAATATCATCAACTACAAAACAAATATTGACAAGCTGGAAGGAGACCATCAGCTTATCCAGGAAGCACTAGTGTTTGATAACAAGCACACCAACTATACCATGGAGGTAGCTATGAATTCATTACTGTTCTTGTCAGGCATTCTGTTATCAGATTCATTATAACCCCCCCTTTCTGATCTGACGGGGATCTAAAACAAGGCAGAATTTACCAGACTTTTAATTTATCAGCAGCAGAAGAAAAACAGGTTTCTAAGGTTCAGTTTGTTTTGACTGTGATTTTGTGACACAAACAAAACTTTTCATCTTTTTAAAACTAAAATACCA